ATGTGAAGGAGTTGTGCAAAGAAGAGAACAATAAGGGTGTGTGTTAGGGGACAAGAACAAGCAGCATATCGTGGGTAGATCTCGCAACACCAAACGGAACCGTCCAAACTGCAGCAACCCTTGATGATTCATATTTGTCCCATATGCAAAGTATAAAGTGTTTCAAAATTAATGTACCCTCTGTCAACTAGTTTATCAGCATGTCCTGGTATATACGCTTGATTGTTTTATATATACAAATTTGTATATTTATCTATACATATTTTATAAATTAGATGATGGTAAGATGGTACTAGTAATTAATATGTTCAAAGAATGCACGACTACATTTCATTTCTATAATGAAATTAATATAACTTTTTAAAAAATCAATGGAAACAAAAGAGTGAACGAAATTGTATGATCCCAAAATCAGTGTTTAATAAGAGTAGAAGAAGAAAATTACTATTGTTGGAATGGAACTGATACTCAATCCATCAGTATATATTTTGTTATTTCTCATTGTTAATTCAAAATTAATATACTCCCATATATATTTATTTGATAGATAGATGCATTATACAATATTTTAAACAATTCTGAATTAAGTATAAACAGTATTGTATATAAATAAGTAGATTACACTTTACAGGAAGAGGTTCCTCTCCAGTACATTAATCTCTTCAGTTGGTTCAGTGCATATTTAATTTAATGACATCTGACAATTTTAAAATCTAATGGTCCATATTTATTTAAATAAAGCAATCTTTAAACTATGGTCAAATATCATTAACCATGGTTATTACTATTTCTCTTTCTCTCTCCTCTCTCATCTCTTTCTTTCTCATTTAATTTTGCAACAAAATTTTTCTCAATAACCAAAGAATTTGTTTTGTTAACAACAAATCGCTTTTCTTTTCATTATTTTCACACCGTGATAAAAGAAGACAAAATTCAAAAGATGAACTTGGGTTATAAAATTGAAAAAATCCAACCCATGAGACTATTTCTTTGAAGTTTGGTTCGGTCACAATGGTGATCCACAAAACTCTGTCGTCTTCTTCGTAACATCAATTTTTTCAATTTGGAGTTTATGCAAAAGCCTACAAAAGCCAACTAAAGGATCTGGAAAGGGCACCAAAAATGGGTAGGAAAATATTTTTTCATATACTTTTTTTTTTGGTGAAATTCTCCATTTATTTTTTGGGTCTTCTTTTCTTGTGGTATTTATAACTGTAATCTTTAATTGGGGCTAATCACTCCATTTCAGTCTTTCTCTTTTGAGACTCTCCCTAGTTATTCATATATAAATGTAAAAACATTAAAATATTGATGTAATTTTAATTTTCAATTGTTTGATTGTTCTGTTTTTCAGAGAGTTTTGGAGGAGGAAGAAGTGTTTCTTTGCTGATTGAGAAAGGAATGAGAGGAGAGATAATTACTAATAACCATGGTTAATGATATTTGGTCAAAAAAAATTAATCTAATCCATTAAAAATTAAATAGACACATATCAACTATATGAAATAGTACTGAGAGAAACTAGAAAGATTACCACTCGAGAGGAGTCTCTTCCCATTTTACAGGCCATCATGCGACTTTCATAAATTAAAAGAGTACTGTCAATTAATGCAATTTAGTAGAAGAGATCCATATTATCAGAGGCGTATCTAAGGGGGGGTCACCGGGTTCACGTGAATCCATGGTCTCCTTCCACGATCATATATAGTAGTGTTATATTTTTAAAATATATTGAAATATAGATGTGTGAACCCACACTCGGAGTATCACGTAATGCGATTATGACTGGGTGCACCTCTCTCCGGGAGGTTAGAAATTTGAATTTTGTTTTATCTTATTTTATTATTCTTTCTAAAATTATATAAACTTCTCTAAGTGGTTATTGGTAGCATTTGTTACATTTTAATTAATTCAACACACACACACACACATATATATTAGAATTCATTTTAGACCTATAATATTTAAAATTTTAACGATTTTCAGTAGGAAAAATCTAAACGTCGAACCGATCTAATATATATCATAGATCAACCTTCTTATAATAGTGCACCCATCATCTCAAAATCCTGGATACGCCTCTGCATATTATATATTTGTATGATTCAACTACCAGCCTGTAATTTGAAGAAGAGAGAGGAGCGAGCTACATTACAATAAAAATATTCTCTCTGTCCCATTTTATGTGAGATAGTTTAACTCGACATAGACTTTAAGAAAGAAATGAAGACTTTTAAAACTTGTGGTCCAAAATGAATGATAGAAATTTGTGTGACTGTAAATTATTTCATTAAAGATAGCAAAATAGACATTTTATAGTTAAATTGTTACTTAATATATAAATATGCCATTCATTTTGGGCTAGACTAAAAGGGAAGTAAGTCACATAAATTGGGACAGAGGGGATAATTTTTAACAGCAATAAATAAGCAGAATAACAAAAAGTGTTAACATTAGTTAATTGTTATTAGATCATATATTGCTAAAGACTTTATGAACATTTATAAAAAATGTTAATTACCTCTAAAAAAAATATATATTTAGCATCAATTAAACCATTGTTGTTGATCATTTTTGGTGTAGTGCTAGATTCTTGAGACTAATTGTTTGGTACCCAAAATACAGAATGATGTGATAGTACAGTGAGTTGACCGAAATAAAACAATTCCGACCATATATAACAATTCGTTACTAGTACGTTATGATATATTTTAGGATTGGGAAAATCGAAATGGCATATTTTATTTTTTTTTATGAATTAGAATATTCAAGTTGTGGCGTAGCTATTAATTATGAATATTATATGTGGCAACCATGTATAAATAGTTATTTGATGAAGAAGTATTAATTTGTAAGCGGCTGTTCAAACCTAACATGTGAAGGAGTTGTGCAAAGAAGAGAACATTAAGGGTGGGCGTTAAGGGACAAGAACAAGCAGCATATCGTGGGATTTGCAGCACCAAACGGAACCGTTCAAACCGTAGCAACCCTTGATGATTCATATTTGTCCCATATGCAAAGTAAAGTGTTTCAAAATTAATGTACCCTCCGTCAACTAGTTTATCAACATGTCCAAGTATATTATACGCTATACATATAAATTTGTATATTTATTTATGCATATTTTGTAAATTAGATAACCATAAGATGATAGTAATTAATATGTTGAAAGAGTGCATGACTACATTTCATTGATGGAAACAAAAAAGTGAACTATCCCAAAATCTGCGTTTAATAAGAGTAGAAGATTACTATTTGAGTAATTACACTTATTTTTTATATTAGGATTTTAAAAAAAAAAGATACTAGGATTGAGCGTCATCAATGATTACATAGGTCAATTATACCTTTTCTCGTTACAGTTAATTTTCATTTCCTTTTTTAATTCATAAATAACGTAGAGAAAGAAAAAAAAGGACACATGATTATTGACCTAAATTAAGCGTAGGACCCCAAGATATGTAATTCGTTAGCCACGTAATCGAAATTGATTTTAAACTTGTTTACTGCTTCAATCAGGATCGAGTATACCAAATGTGAATGGCGGAGTTGACAAGAACACCAAATGGTAGCTGTATAAAATTGAATATGATTTCTTTCCTTTTGAACAGTTTTTGAGTAAAATGACCCAACTCCTAATTAATTTTCTCTTGTAATTAATTATTACCTGGTTTCAAAACTGTTGTTGGAATGGAAACGAATTCAACAGCTGATACTCAATCCATCACTATATATTTTGTTGTTTCTCTTTGTTAATGCAAAATTAATATACTCCCATATATATTTATTTTTATTTGATAGATAGATGCACTATACAATATTTTAAACAATTCTGAATTAAGTTTAAATAGTACTGTATATAATTAAGTAGATTACATTTTAGCTTAATGGATATAATTAGTAAAATGTAATAATTAACTCAAAAGTTATGTAGCTATGATTTTTTCTTTTAGAAAATCACTCAACTTTAATTTGTAACTCAAAAGTCATTCAACGGTAAGTTTTTATATTAGAAAATCACTCAACTATGAAATTCTTTTACTTATAAAGTCACTTTATCTATTTAATTGATTTTTCATTAAAATTTGTTGATATTCAATTTTTATTTAAAACTATATCTATTTAAATTATTTTGATAATCCAACCCACTAAAACGATGTCTATTTAAATCAATTGGCCTTATATTTGTGCATGATTAATCAGCAGGGTGTAACTTTTAAATTTAGATATTTATTAGTTGTTCCAAGATCGACGTGATGCAGATTCTTAACCACAAAAAAAGAAAAGAAAACAACAGTAACTGGTATTAATTTGAAATGTTAGAAAAATCAACGGTGTGAAGAGGGATTTAATTTCTTAAAAATGATTTAATTAAATATATTTTTATTTCTTAAAATTTTGATTTAAAATAAAAATTACATATCAACAAATTTTAATAAAAAATTAATTAAATAGATAAAGTGACTTTGTAAGTAAAAACTTTATAGTTAAATGATTTTATTAGAAAAACTATTCATAATTAAATAAGTTTTGAATTAAATATCAATGTTAAGTGATTTTTGTGAGAAAAACTTATATTTGAATTACTTTTAAATTAAAAATCAAAATTGAATGACTGATAGTTAAAGTGATCATAGTCCATATGTGAATTGTGATATTATCTGTATTAAATATTGTCCACTCGGTTACCTATACTATTTGCTTGGGTTTCAAGGCTAAGGTGTTTCTGCGTAGGAGCTGACACAAACAAATAGTAACAATCATAAATCTATCCTTGGCCAGTAGGCAATGACGGCGTCACTTCCGTCAGCCCCCCTTCGTTGTAGCCTTATTGAAGCAATTCAAAAATGAATGAGTCGTCGTGGACCCCACTCCCACTTTTAAGAAAAAGATAGGAAAACGCTACAATTGTTTATAAAAAGGCCGGTCACCGCCTCATTTGCACCCACAAGTCCACAACACAAACATCATTTTGATTTATTATTCTCTTCTTCTTCTTCCTCCTCCAGCTTTAATTAATTCAAGGGTATATTATGGGTGCTTGCTTGTCTTCCTCCTCCACTATCGTCGATCAAAAGCAGCTGACCAGCTACGTCATCTCAATTAGTGGAGAGCTCCGTCAATATAGCGTTCCCATCAACGTCTCTCAAGTTCTTCAATCTGACATCTCTTCTGATCATGCTTCCAGCTTCCTATGCAGTTCCGACCGTCTTTACTTCGACGATTTCATACCTTCACTCGATTCCCAATATCAGCTTCTTCCCGGTCAGATCTACTTCATGCTTCCTGCCTCCAAGCTTAAGTATCGACTCAGTGCTTCTGACATGGCAGCTCTTGCCGTAAAGGCTAGCGCTGCTCTTGAGGACCTCAACAAAAACAAAAACAAAAACAAAAGCCGCAAGTCTAGGAAGATCATGAGTAAAAAGCGGATTTCACCCATGCTTCTTCAAGTAGAAGAAGATGATTATACTCAAACCAATAATAAGTCCACTGTCGGACTTGGGATTTCCATGAGATCCGCATCTGTCAGAAAATTGCAGCGATTATCTTCACGCCGGGCAAAGATGGCTGTGCGATCCTTCCGTAAACTTATCACCATTCAAGAAGGATTCGTTCTTTTTTAATTAATGAGCAACTTCATTTTATATATTCTTTTTTTTTTTTTGCCAGATATGAGTAACATGCTATTCTCTCGCTCTACACGTATATAGTAAATACAAAACAAAAAAATATATATATGTGGGAGTTGCAGAGCATAAGATCAAATTTCGTTTGTATGTAAATTGTACTTAATTAGCTTGTACAACAACAACTATGTATTACTTATTAATCAACCTTTTTGTGCAATTGCTGACTTTCGGGTGATCAAAATTAAATAGACATGCCCACAATTCAATCTGTAAATAGAAAATGAAACTACTTATAGAAACAACATATATATGTTTGAATGGTAAACAAAGTTGGACGTTGTATACAAAATAATCAAAAATAAAATATTTTTGAGTCATGTGACATGGCATATTTATCACAAGTCAATGTATGGATGATGATTTTAAGGGGAATGGAGTAGAAAGAAATTAACGTGTGGAGAAGTCGTCGCTTACTATAATTCTAATTTCTAATTAAATAAATGGGAATGAGGAATCGTATTGGGGCCAAAAACAGAACAAAACGTTCAAAGTGGTGAGGTTGGCTAATTAAATATAATTGAAATTTTAGGATAACGGTTTCTCAATTTTGTATTTAATTTGTTCACACCCAAAAGCAATTGGCGTGGTCCTGCATACCTCCATCAATTCCATTGAAAAACTGTTTAGGTGGGGATAGGAAAAATATGTCTTTTATATGAACTTACACAATTAGTAAATTTTTGGGGAGTTAAATTTAATTTATATAAAAAAAATTTGCATGATATTAAAGATTTTTTTTATAGATGATGAGTGATTTTTTTAAAGAAAAGTTCATAGTTGAGTGTCGATTTGAAATATATATACTTTATATATACCCAACTGACTCATTGCTTTTTTAAAACAATAATATCCTTTTACAAGTACATGTTTGCACCCATTAGGCTTTGTAAGAGGAAAAATCACATACTACTATATTCTCTGGATTTTTAACAGAAGCTCTTCACTTTCGTTAGAATAATAATGTCCGATTTCTTTGAACGTCCTCTTTCCTTATTTTTTTTTTTTTTTTTGCATGCCTCCTTTATTTTAATTATTGTTTGACTTGATCACCGTTTCTGGAATGCAGTTAGTATTTCTTCTACTGCCAACATTATGCAAAATGACATAGTACGTACTATCATTTCTTCCTGCGTATACGTACGTCTAGCTCTTTAAATTAAATTAAGCTAGCTAGTACTAAAATTAAAATATGCAACGATTTTCAAATCTAAACTTATTGATCTGTGTTTGGACAAATCTAGTACAGAAATCAAAACGTACAGTTTTTTGTTGACTCTTCTTCGTGGGTACAAGTCTAGCGCCTAGCGGAGCTGCTGCTTTGGCTTACTAATCAATTATGTACAAGTCTCGACCCGACTGTAATGTTAAAAATTCATCAAGCCATCCTAATTACTAATTACTTCAAACTCAAAAGTCTAAAAGTAAAATTTAATTATTTGAAATAAAGTTTAAAAGTTAAGAGCCAGGACAAACTTTTCATATCGGAAGTTCGATCAGCCTGAGGGACAAGTTACTTTTTCTTTTTTAAAAAATTGAAGTGTTTTTACTCAATAAAAATGGAAATTAATATCTTAAAAGGTCATTGAACTATGAGAAATTAGCTAGCAAAGTCATTGAACTTTGTTTTGTATCAATAAAATCACTCAACTTAAGATTTTTATCTTAAAAAATCACTCAATTACATTTATCAATAAAATAAATTTAAATGACAAATTAAATTATTTTTATGTCATGTAATTATGGACTCTACCCATAAAAAAATTATAAAAACTATTTATTTTTATACCGATTTTTTTCCCTCCGTCTCTATATGCCATCAATTTGAACGCATCGCCCGAATTTTCAAACAAATTAGATCTGAATCGACGTCTTGTTCAAAGGTAATGAACTACCCAGATTTTTGCTAACTTTCTTGACATCTTTATTTTCGTACTTTATTGTTTCTTATTATATATATATATATATATATATATATATATATATATATGTAGTGGCTGATCCTAATTACTCAGGCAGCTAATTGATGCCAAGCATCTTGTGTATTATGGGATCTGATTTACCGTTCCTTTCTGGTTTCATAGAGTTGAGATTTAAGTTCCTTTCGAAATTAATAGATTTTATAATTTTACTTATTTGTGGAGTTCATAATTATAATTATATGACATAAAAAATAATTTAATTTGTCATCTAAAATTTGTTTTGATGAAAAATGTACATTGGAGATTTTTAAAGATAAAAGTCTTAAGTTAAGTGATTTTAGTGATATAAAACAAAGTTCAATGACTTTATTAGATACTCCCTCCGTCCACAATTGTTTGTCAGGATAAGGTCATGCACATCCCTCAAGGAAAATTTAATACAAGGTGTAATTTGACTAATATAACCCTACTATATCAAGAATACCAAAAGTCCACATAACTTTTCAATTTAACTACACAATCATTAAGGGCAGAATTGGAAAAAAGTGACTAATTATTTCTTGATTGTTTAAATTGACAATTAATCTTGGACATCTATTTTTAGTATACATGCCAAACAATTGTGGACGGAGGGAGTATTTTTTTTATAATTCAGTGACTTTTTTAAGATATTAACTCATAAAAATGCTAGATTTTTTATTAAATTCTCTTGATAACTCAAAAGGCAAGGAAGCTAGAAGAAAAAGATTGAGTTCAAAAGCTTTCACATATTAATGTGGAGATTAGATTCAAAAATATACCGAGAGGGTATTGGATTCTATTTTTTTCTTAATAAAGAGAGGTTAATACAATCCATTATTAAGAATTTTGCTGTTCATGAACTAGCTATATTGGAATTTGGAAATAGGGTGACATACGTATTTTATTTAATTTGGCTTTAATTGATATTTATGCTCTCTAATTTTGGGCACATAATTAGATACTTAAATTGTATAAATAGACACATTAATTCTATATAACGTCCTATATGCAATTTTATTTCCTACACGACGTTTAATATGTATTATGTTATATAGGACATGTATATCTATTTATTTAATTTTATACTATAAATCCAAATATGTAATTGTATACCTCAAAAGTTAAAAGGTAATAACATATTGACGTATTATGCCTTGAAAATTCCATGAAACAATCATACTAATGCAAATGAGAAAGAGAAAAAAATAAAACAAGAGAAAGAGTTGATAAAAAAGAGTATAAAGTTGTTGGGTTAGACATGGAGGACCCATTTCTGCTGCACCTGCAGTCTTAATCATGAATGCTAATTGAATGCCCCCACTACCCCAATGTCCTCACTCCTCATTTTTTAGAATTATTAAGTATACCTAGCTACTTCGTTAATGCTATACGTACACCTAATTTATCAATTCTACCTGCCTCCTTCTTTTCTTCTTGTATTTTTATTATTACTTTCTTAATTCATTTATTTTTGCATAATTTCCCATCATGCGTCATAATTGCTACTAGTTTTCTGGTGGTGTGTTATAATTTATTCTTCTTTTTTGCAAAAAAATAAAATAAAGTAATTAAGTGCTATTTCATAAAAGTCAAGAGCTAAAAAAAAAGAGAAGCAAAATAGGTGTTGGTGTGGCAATTTACAGAGAGAAAGTATTTTACTATTACTATGAATATGGGGGTCAGACTTCAGAGTGCAAATGCCTAATTAATTAGTAATAATGGAGTAAGAAGATTGATGATAGTGTGTGGGCATTTAATGCATTTGGTTTACCCACCATCTCTATCCCTACTCCATCTTCTTTGTCAATCTCGAAGATATTACATATATAGTAAGAGCACTAACTACTATAATTGTGTCGGCGCTACCTAGCTCTGATGATGCGGCTGGAATTGGAATTGGAATTGGATTGCCCCTCTCCGCCTGCAGCTCCTCAGTATTGACCCTCCTCCACTCCATCTCCAATTCTCCATTCTCCATTCTGACTGATTAACCATTTTTAATTTAACTCTTCTTTCAGTGCTCTGGATCATGTCCTCAATATGTCTCCCACACCAGTAGTAAGTCACCACCGACTAGCTACACATTATTATTATTATTATTATTATTATTTTCATTTACCAGATTTTGATTCTTACAGGAACCACATAACCATCACTCTTCTTTTTGCTGTAACTCCAATCATACTCCCAAATTCCAGGTATTGGAGTTATCACCTATACATACATTGCTATTTCTGTATTAGACTATACTTTGTTGTATGCATGAAAACTGCTATTCAGGATTCACTCTTTCAAGGAAACTCTTTGATATTTCAAGTTAAGAGGGAATTTTTCAATGATACCAGAGTAGTATTTTTTAGTATTCTGTACCAACATCGACATTTTGTCTGATATTGGAACATTGTAGTGTAGAATGAGTCTGTTTGAATGTCCTGATTAATGAATGGTATTACAGCTTTTCTAATAGGCAATTCCTTTTTCAGCGCAACTGTGTTTCCTTGCAGTCTTCCATGGAATTGATGAAAGAAATTACTACTCTCGAAATTGAGATAATGCGTTTGGAACGATATCTACTCTCACTTTATCGGACAGCTTTTCAGCAAAATCTCCCACTTCTATTGGAAAATCAGAAAATCCATTCACAGGGCAAGATAAGCTCCCCTACCCAGTGTACAATAAACCAATCATACTCCGATGTAGAAATAGATACGTCAATATGTGATGCGGACCAATATGATCGAATCTCCTCTGCACATGCTTTGACTGGTGTAAGTGATCAGATTCAGACTGCCAACAAGTCGTCGTCTATAAGGGTCAATACATCCAACTCCTAGACTTTGACATATAGCTAAATTCATACTATTATTACATTATATGTTGTTTCAGTTAGAATTATCTCACTTGTCTTTCCTCAAGGCATTAATTGGCTGTCTGTTGTGAACAACTGCAGGAAAAGTTAACTGATTCTGCTCACCGTAGCCTTGCGGATCATCTCACTGCCTCTCGCATGGATGACGTTCTTAGTTATCCTGATAGGCTGTCTGAAGAAATAGTCAAATGCATATCTTGTATATACTGCAAATTTGCCGATCCCAAAATTCTTGCTACAAAGGGATTATCAGTTTCTTCTACTTCGTCATTATCATCATCAAGCACATTTTCTCCGAGAAATCTTTCAGGCAGCTGGAGCTCACATCACAATGAGGAGAGCACTGAGCAGTATGAATTTGAAGTCTGTAAAGATGACAACAGACCATATTCTACAATGATAGAAATTTTGAAGATATGTCTAGATGATGATAGTTTCAATTATGCCACAACAATGCTGCATAAGTTCAGGTTATTCACAACGAACACAAGCAGTTCAATTTTTGATATTTTAATGATATTTCTAGAGTTAAAGAGTACAAAAATCTTAAATACCTGCTAGTGTGGACTTGACTAAAAAGCATGTTAAGAACTGTTCGAGAAGCTTAATTGACCAGTTTGAATTTGTCATCCTTTGCTGTTTACTAATTTGAAAGCTGTAAAATGTGCTATCTGGAAAAATATTAGTTGTAAATTGTAAGTTCTACTGCATCTGAAATTGTTTTCATAAATACTTGTCACTTTTCTCCCTCCTTTCTCCACCAATCAAGGCTAAAGAGAAGATGCAACTTCTAAATGGACAAGTGACAATACAATCTGAATATACTCAATATAGTAGTATATAAGTTTTATTTTTACTACGTTGATGCTCTGCAGGTCACTGGTTAAGAGCCTTGAAAAGGTTGATCCAAGAAACATGAGGCGTGAAGAAAAGTTAACATTCTGGATTAATATTCACAATGCCCTGGTGATGCATGTAAGATTTTCTCAAAGTTATTTTTCAACATTAGCTTAGTAACGTTTTACCCTGAAACAAATTGATACGGATTATCCAGTATTGATGGAAAACATATTGCTTACCAGACTACAAAATCATCCAAGGTGGAGCTATTGTTTTAGAATTTCAACCTTTTCATTTATTCTTTTCATACTCTTGTTGGGAGGTCATGACACTCTCAGTTATACTTCTCGTCGTCAGTGCCATACTAGGATTAAATGTGTTGTTCAAATAATTACATATGAAGTGCTATTCTGGAATGCATTATGCGTCCTTTCAATTGGCAAAGTACGTAGTATACTTTATACTAGCATCAACTATTCTTGCACTCATTGCTCAAGACTAGCATTTCAATTGGTCTCCTAATTTGGGGATTACAGTGTTTCTCTTTCTTTTTAATTATTTAATTCATCCTATTGAGGCCAGTTATGAGGTACTATATGACTTCTTTTCAGGCTTATTTAGCCTATGGAACTCAAAATTCTGTCAGAAGTTCTTCAATCTTGAAGGTAAAAGGAATAGCCCTTATCTTTTTTTTTTATTCAAGAAATCTGAGTTTGTCGTAAAACTACTGCAGGCAGCTTATAATGTGGGTGGCCATTGCGTAAATGCTTATGTCATACAGAGCTCCATATTAGGGATACTACCACACTATTCTGCACCGGTATGTTGAATGCTAAGTAACATCCTATTCTAAGATCATCTTACCTTCTCAAAAAAAAAAGAAAAAAGAAGCATCCTATTACTAGATTGACATGCCTGTGTCATCCCATGATAAAACTATAAACTAGGTTTCTTAGCATTTCTAGCTACTTCTTGTTTGACAGCTGACTTGCTTATGGAGCATCAACATTTTATTCTCTTAATTAGTGAATTGTTCTTCAATGCTGTTTTAGTTAGAGAAATGCTTGAAATTATTTGCTTAATATTCTGAGCTCATCTGCTTGAGAATGGTCTGGACTGACAGGGAGAGATAAAAATAAAGTCAAAATATTATCTAACATCTCTTATCCGTCAGTAATTTTCCTACTATTTTGATAATTGGTCTAGTTTTACTACTGTTGTTCTTGGGAATTGCATTGGTATTCTGGACAAACATGCAGTCATGATGCTGTTTTTTTAAGTTCATTAGAGCATTTTCTCTGCACAACAGCATAGTGACTATAATATGATCTTCATGAGAAGAAAAGAAAGTGCTAGCGTAAACAAACAAGTATATCTTGTTAAAACATAATTATTCTTGAAAAGAGGATGGTCTTATCCAACAATTTTTTTTAGCGAGTGGTTCCCACTTCCCAGCAGTTTTGCATCTCCATTTTGTAAGTTTTACATTCAGATCCTATTGATATGAGTTTGGCTCCCCCGTATGAACTACAACCTCTGTTTCAATTTGTTTAACGTACTTTCTTTTTAGTTCGTTTAAAAAAAGAATGACTCTTTAGTACATTTGACATATTTTAATTTAAGACCACAAAATTCAAAAGTCATTATTTATTTTCTTAAACTGTGTCAAGTCAAAATAGGTTAAACAAATTTAAACTGAGGGAGTAACAGTTTAAATACAAAAGTGTGGGATAGGGAAAAATAATTGTTTAAAATGGAGGAAGAGGATAACCTTTGTAGCATTCCCTGCTATCATTGTTCTAGATTCTATTAATTCTGCGTTTTATGGACTGGATGCTTTCTCTAATTAAACATGAATGCAGTGGCTACGGACGCTCTTTTCTCCAGGAAAAAAGTTTGCGACAGGAAATTGTAGACATACCTATGCGATTGAGTACCCTGAGCCACTTGTTCACTTTGCACTGTCTTTGGGTGCATCTTCTGATCCCTCGGTAATGTTCCTGCAAGCTATTAGTTAAAAAAAATCATGGACTTTGCATTTCTATTATGCATTTTTAATGCAATCTGCTGGGCACGTGCAGATTCAGGTTTACACAGCGAAAAGCGTATTTCAGGATCTTAAAGTAGCTAAAGAGGAGTTTATACGGGCTACAGTTTGCATTAACAAAGACAAAAGGATTTATCTGCCTAAAATCATATGCTATTTTGCAAAAGATATGTCCCTGAGCACGGATGAAGTAGTTGAAACTGTCATGGGATCTCTACCAGAAACTCAGATGAAACTAGTCAGATCCTGCATGGAGTACAGAGCTGATAAGTTAATTTATTGGTTACCACAAAGTTGTACGTTTAGATATTTGATCCAGAAACAAGTAATCGAAGGGAGATTATCTATTTAACTGTCAATATTAGTGCTGTACGTGCTTATATATATAATAATAATATTTCTCTCATTTAATTGCGAAGTCATGTAAGCATCATTATATGTACTGTTGGTGTAATACACACCAACATAGACACTGTTGGGATGTTCAGAAAGTTTAAAGTGAGAGGTGCATGGTTGTATCGTTCAGAATTATTCCTTATTATATTATATATATAGAAGCGGCTTAGAAGCAGCTGAGCGTTGTCTTGCTAGCTTGCTTTCAAGGGCTATTTTCGTCATTCAATCATCATCTGACACATGTTGAATCCTTAAGGCAACTGTCGCGTTTCTCTAACTTTGCACTTGCACACGTTGTATAGTGTTTTGGTTTTGCCTGCTTCTCAGAACTTCTTCATCATCTCAGGTGAGTGTTCGATCTCTTACCGCCGTTTTGTGCTAATTTATAGAAGCAGCTTGGAAGAGATTTCTTCCCAGTATCAAAAGTTCCAGCTTCTGCTTTGTGCCGCAGAGGTTAGTTTGCATTGTGGGAATAATTTCAAGTGCATTATGCATGCAAAAAGTGCTCTAGAGATGCAGCTTCCGGATAGCTACCGCTTCTTTGCACACTTGCTACTGTGTCGTGCCTATGTTGTGGAAGATAACTATTCAGGGCTTCATGAAGAGTACATGAGGTGCTTGGAGCTCAAAACTGATTATCATATTGGTTGGATTTGTCTTAAGTTTCTTGAAAGTCGATACAAGCTGCAGTCAGATTACAGTTCACTAGCCTTGGCCTTTCAAGAGTGTGGCAAATAAAAACTTCGTGGAACATGTGGATTGCTATGTATAATTTGGTTCAAGGTCTAACTGCAGTTTGGAATGGGGAATTTATTGATGCAGAAGAGTCCCTTGCGGAAGAAGCTTGCTTGTTGGCTGGTGGCGAGAGTTGCCTTTTTCTTAGCCATGGTAACATTTGCTGAACATTGTAAAACTGACTTTAATATGCTTAAACTCTTTCCTATTAACTGACTTTTTGGCAGAAGTGTCTTTTCCCATTCAAAAGCTTTTCTATTTCTCTCTGCAGAACCCACCATAATAAGTGCTCAGGGGTTACATTTCTTCGTCTGCATTTTCTTCCATCTATATCCGTCTTTCTTTCTTACCCTCTGTGTGTCTATTAAAGGCTGATGGTCTTTTTGGTCCAATTGGTGATGGGAGTTTGATTATTCAGGTGTTGTTTGCATGGAGATTGCCAGGCAAGCAGTCCGATTCAAATTTTTTTAATCACTTGCTATTAGAAGTCTGAAGAAAGCAAAAGACAGTTCTTTGATGCCGCTACCCTTTGTCTCACTACTACTGGCACCAGCAGAAGTTAGCCTCGGCTCTGAATCAAAGTGGGAAAAGAACCTCATTGAGGAATGGTCATCTTAGCGGCCAGGTTTGATATTTTGTCCTTTGATAATTCATTTATATTTTATTTAGAGCAGTTAAGTTTTGACTGTGGTTGGCAACTTCGCTTGAGTCAATATCAAGTGCAATATCGAGTAGTGGGTCTTTCACAATCAGACTAACTGGACTACCTACACACTAAGGTACTTGATTGTGGAGTTTGCCGTGTAGCTGACCCTCTTAGTCCATTCTTGCCAGAGTGTGACCCTCTTAGTCCTTTAATGCTTTATGTTCTAAATAAGATTTGAATACTATTGTGGTTGAAAATTCTGACTGAAATTTCCACTTTCTTGCATAGTATTCGGCCAAGTTCCAATATATGCATCGACATTTGAATTCCATTCCAGTTCCCTGTGTTTCTAGACATAGCTAATTGCCAAATGTGATATGCAGGGGGTGGGGGGAGATATTTATACATGGAATATTTGGGAGAGTCGAGCAACCCTTCTGCCTTTATGGCAAACTACCCGCACAAAGAAACAACTAAAGGAGAAAAACAGAAAAAGAAAAGAGAAACCTATTCTCACAATTTGTGGCAAAATGATCAGTGTTGTCAACGGGGCACTTAAGATGAAGCGACGCGCAAAGCAAGTTGGGCACTTCACATCACTTAGGCAACGGTTTAGTGAAAGCATATGGCGTTTCATTTCGGTGATCATGTCACCAACTGCCCTTTTAACATGACAAGGTTAAAATGAGGTGTCGGGGTTCTGTTTAAAGAAGAGACGACTAAGAGCCTATTTGGATTGGCTTAAAAGTTGAAAGTTGGTAAGACTACTTTTAAGTAATTTTTAGCTTTTGAAGTGTTTGACAAAATTAAAAATAACTAGAAAAGTTATAAGTTAAAAGTAGATACTCTCCTACTTTTCATTTTTTAACTTATAAAAGTTACTAAAGTTTGACTTTTTAAAAATTTGTGTTTTTTTTTCTAGTTAAGCCAAACGAACTCTAAATATTAAGTATTACTTACCACCTCAGGTTCTTCCTAGGGCCTCTATTTTAGGTGAGGTTCTATAGTTCGATGGTTGTATTTTCATCTCCCTCCTTGATGTACCGTGAGTTCACGATATTTTCGATGCATTAAACTTGGAGTTTTGCATGAGTCTTAGGGATTTTGTTATTAGATTTGATGGTGTTTTGATTTGGTTTTGCAGGAAATAGGTTTTGGAGCAGTTGGTGTTGAAAGTGCTTGAAACAACAGAAACTTGGTAATAGACGAGCCCACCTACGTGTCGTCGTTCCTTTGACGAGCCGTAGGTGGAAGGAGTGAGTGATGTGATGAGGAAAATGGACTAAGTATGGAACGACTAGCAACTGACGGGTTGTAAGTTTTTTGACGAGCCGTCGATGATGAGTTGTGGATGACTTCAGAGAAGATAAGTTGCAGCCCATGAACGACGATTGAACAGGAAGGGTCGTGCTTAGATCTACGAGTCGTAGGTCATGCTCATCGATGACACCCATAGGAATTTTGACTAACAGCAAAGTGACGATGGCACCTATGAGCTGTCGTTCGTGTGATGAGCTGTAGGTGACCACTCGTTGATGACACTGCCCAAACCAAATTTCCTCGAGCCTTTCTTTTTCCTACTTGGTTTAGGATTTATTTTCTATAAATATTGATAGTAAAGTTCGTTTTTGGGTTGTTAGACCTTTTGTGATACTTTATTTTGGCTTTGAGAATTATTTTTGAACACTTTTGGCAATTAATTCTTGAAGATTTGTTAATGAAATTTGTGTTTGCTCTTCAATTCAAGATTCCGGCTTTCAATTATTCAACTTGTAAGTTCATGATTTATATTATTAACCCTATTATGAGTTGTGAGAACTCAAACATGAATAACTAAATCCACAACTAGGATTGTGGGAATCATGCGTAATTAACAACGTAAAACTAATAATTAAGTAAATTCTAGAATAGTGTTTATGCATGTATTGTTAATCTCTTTGTTTTGAATGTTTTTTTAACGGTACACAACGTTAGAATTCACCTCATTCTTACTTGCCCGACCAAGGAAGTAATGAATGAGAAAGGGATTAAACAATGAAGATTTAGCGTAATAATCCGTTATCTAATAACTTGACCTATTTACTGTGAGGGCTATTCTAGGGTTAAAGGCAGGGGTTAGTAAAACATACACCCATAGACCGACCAAGTTGTGTGGTGAAATTCCCTACTTGGACGACCGATCTATTAGGAGATACCTAACTTACCAACCTTGCATGTTAACACTAGGAAAGAGTTACTATTATTAGGATTACTGCGTTAAGAACTTGTGAGGGACACATTTTTCCTAGTTCCATGTCATATTGATACAGGGGCGGCTGGTTAGGCTTAAGGAAAAGTCCTTCGCCTTAGGCCCCCAATTTTAGGGGGGCCCATTTTTTAGTTAATTAGGTAAGATTAAATTTTAAAAAAAATTTAGAATGAAGACAATAATAAATGCAAATGGCTGGACAAAAAATGCAAACGGTTGGGAAAAAAATGTAAACAGCTGAAGTGATATATATGAGTTATGACTCTGACTTTTTAACTTTCCAATAAAAAGTTGTGTACTTTTTTCTTAATGTACAAGTTTTTTTTTTCTAATTTTATTTTTATATATTCTATCCTCCTCCCTTCCTCTCTTCTATTTATTCTCACTTGTCTTCTCTAAATTCTAATCTTACATCTCTCTTATTCAAAGCTTAAGAATTTACTTGTTCTATTGATAATTTATATTTTAAATTTGGAGAAAAATATATTGCAGCAACCCAAATCATTTAGAGTTGATTACTTCTTATACATAGTAGACCAAGCCATCTTTTCACTTCAAAATAGATTTGAACAATTTGAAGTATATGAAAATATTTTTGGTTTTCTATTTAGTGGGAATAAATTGAGATCATTTGATGATGAGAATTTTTAAAAAATATTGTCTTAATCTTGAATGTTCCTTAAAACATAATACTCACTCCGCTATTGACGGTTTAGACTTATTTTCTGAATTAAAAGTGTTAAGGGAAATCATAAAAGTAGAAGACAATAATCTAATTGAGATACTCAATCAAATAAAAAGACTTGATTCTTTTCCAAATGCTTACATTGCTTATCGAATAATGTTAACAGTTCTCGTAACAGTCGCCTCAACTGAAAGAAGTTTTTTTTTTTTTAAAAAAAAATCTTATTTAAGATCGACAATGTCTCAAGAAAGATTAAGTGGTTTGGCTATATTATCGATTGAAAAAGAGATTGACTACACAAAAATTATTAACAACTTTGTATCTAAAAAAAATAGAAAAATAGATTTAAAATAAAAATATTTATAATTTTTTTAAGGCCTCTAGTTTGAGTTTGGCCTTAGGCCACCATCAGGTTTGAGCCGCCCCTGTATTGATATTACAAACTTGGAATCCTGTTTATTTGTTACTTGTTACTACAAATCAATCAACTATTACTTTATTTACAAATCTCCATTTTTAAGGAAAGAAACGTACTAAAAGTACAATCAACAATGAATTAGCCTAAGTCTAGACCATATTCCTCGTTGGATCAATCATAACCTCAGTTAGGTTCTTTATTTGGCAACGACCGCTTATACTTAGGGAGGTATAATTTGGGCGTATCAATTTTGC